GCCAGAGGGCCACACCTAGAGACTTTGATCCCCTGCTTAGACTTGTCAAAATTTAAACCCCAGTATACAGAGTAAGATGAGGAATGGGCCCATGAATGAGGATCCACTAACACTGATCCCAATTCCATGTGGAAGATCAACACCCATGGTCTTCCTCCCTGAGGCTCTAGTGTATCCCATCCTCAAACACCTACAGGAAGGGACCCATTATGGAAGGGATGCTTTGATGGACCTCATTAGGCCACATCTGAAGAGCCCTCATTTGCAAAGAACCATTCAGAGGACCATTATCCAAGCCTGCCAGATGTGTGCCAGGAACAATCCTAAGACAGAATGCACCCCAGTGAAAAAGGGAGCACAATATACAGGTTATGCCCATTTGAGGACTGGCAAGAAAACTTTGTACAGATGCCTAAAACCAAAGGGAATTTCAATTTTTTGTTAGTTTTTGTGGGCACTTTTTCTGGGTGGGTAGAGGCATACCCCACTAAAACTAAGAAGGTGACTGAGGTAATGAAACGTCTACTTAAAGAAGTAACTCCTAGGTTAGAACTTCCTCACAGCACTCAGAGCAACAATGGGCCATCATTCACTTCAGGGATCTCCCAGAAGGTTGGGCAGGCACTACAAATACAGTGGAAATTGCATGCATGTTAGAGACCTTAATCTACAAGAAAGACTGAGAAAACAAACCACACAATGAAGACGACCCTGGCAAAACATGCCAGGAAACGCATTTGCAATGGGACCAGGCACTCCCCATTGCCTTGGTCCAAATTAGGGTGGCACCTAGAAGTGAGCTTAAGTTAAGCCCTTTTGAAATAGTTTATGGGCAACCCTTCCAAATCTCAGTTTAGGGAATGCTTCTCCCTCCCTAGATTTGGAGCACAAGACAAAAATTGAGCAGCATGTATAACATTCAGGGCAAACACTAACCACCTTGCACAAGTTTGCTCATTGCAGGTTCACCTACCCACCTGATGAGCCCTTGCACCCATTCCACCCAGGGGGCCTAGTGTTACTAAAGACCTGGAAGGCTCAAGGTCCTGAACAGAGACTCTCCAAGCAATGGACTGGTCCCTCTGACATCCTACTAACAGCACCCTCTACTCTAAATTTCACAGGAATTAAGCCCTTGGATCCACCACACACAGATAAAATGGGCACCATCTAAGGGAGATTTGAACCCTGCTGCTGTGGTTGATGCTGAAAAGGACAGCTGGACTAGCACTCTGGAAGGAGATTTGAAATCTCTCTTTTGGATGAAGACAGTGGGCCCCAATGCAATGTGACAATGTTCCTTTACTTTATTTATGTGTTTGCAAATCTAGGGACTTTCCACTGCTTGATACTGAGTTAGGGTATGGTCCTTCCCATTGTTAAAAGGAACAAGGATTGAAAAGAAATTATAGTTATTTCTAAATGAGCATAAAAAGTTGTGAGAGTTTTAACTTGAAATGAGGAAGACCTCAGTTTTTGGTTAAAGTTATTCTTTGCTTGCCTTCTGGTCTTATGGGGACTACAGGGAACTTAGCTGTTTTGTTTACACCAGGAATCCTCTGTCTCTGCCATTTGGGCTTCGTGCCATTTGGACCCCATCAGGGCTGTCTGCGGTACTGGTTGGTATGAGAGCAAGTCTCTGCCGTTAGAGGCTTTGGGCCATTTGGACCTAGAAGAAGTTGTCTGTGGGACCAGTCGCTGTGAGACAAGATTCTAAGGCTAGTTCCAGTCCCTCCACCACTTTTTCTGGAACTGTCTTTGTTTTGGATTTGTTTTGTTTCTGCTTTGCAAAGGTCATTTTTAAAAAGAAACTGATGTTTCTAAGGGTTAAAACTTCACATTAAGCTGTAAAGTAACAAAAGATATAAGGCACTGAGATAAAATTTTGGTCAATATTGGAAGGACAATGATTTCCCTTTTTGCTTTGTATTTTCTCCCTAATTGATGGCTCTAGAATTTGGATGATAATGTGGGTAATCTTAGGAAGGGGAATTGGTTTTAAGGAAAATCACAATGCTCAGTTTTGAAACTGGACTTTAGGGCAGATAACTGTTCTCAAGAAGGTGCAGCTCGCACAGACTCCAAGGGGTGCCTGGAGCAGACCATGACAAGAAGCATGCTTCAGCCACCTGCATCTTCCTAATGATTGTACTTTTAAAGGGAAAGAGAATTCCAGGTGCAGGCTAAAACCAGTCTGGCCTGGCAACTGGTGGCAGGGTTATTTTGGGGGGTTTACGAGGGAATGGGTTTGGGAACAGATACTTGCCTTTATTTCAAATTGTATGTTCATCAAAGAAAAGATTCCTTTTCCTTTCCATTGAATTCTGTCTCTAGAGTTTTGCCTGTTGGCAGCAAGCTGTCAGGCACCCACTAGCTGGTTCTGTAACCAGGGTGTTGTCCCAACACTCTTATGCCAAGGTTGTGGGTTCGATCCCCAGTCAAGGCACATATAAAAATCAACCAATGAATGCATAAGGAAGTGAAACAACAAATTAATGTTTCTTTTTCTTTCTCTCTTTCTTTCTCTCTCCCCTCACCCTTCTCTCGCTCTAAAAATCAATAAATAAAACAACATTGCTCTAATCAACAAAAATAATTTTTGCTATTAAGTACTAGATATTGTTCCTGCTAGAGTGGGTGCAGGCAAACAGAAAAAGACCATTGTTAAAGACTATCTGGCCCTGGCCAGTGTGGTGTCATCCTGTAAATGGAAAGGTCGTGGGTTCAATGCCTGGTCAGGGCACATGCCAAGGTTGCAGTTCAGTCCCTGGTCATGGCCAGGTAGCCAATCAATGTTTTCTCCCTCACATCGATGTTTCTCTCCCTCTCACCCTTCCTTCCCCTCTCTAAGCACGTCCTTGGATGAAGATTAAAAAAAAAAAAGAGTATCTGTGGTTCAGCCACAGGAGATGGAGAAACAGCTACACTGAATACACACCATCTTTTGTTGGCTTTCTCTAATTGTTCACCATCTGAAAGGAATAAATCGCTTTTCAAGAACATAAGGGAGCTACTCTTATTCCCCCACAGCCGCTATGTCGATGTGATGGGAAATGCAATCCCGAGTCTTCAATAAGAAACAACGCAGAGAACATGCCCAAACCCTTGGCCACATCATTAAAGGAAAAAGTGAGAAACTCTGAGGGAAGGAAGTAAAAAATATCTGTTTTGTTAGTAAAGAAAAGAGGAGGTACATTCTCAGCAACAGGCAAATAGAGACTATTACCATTTAAATGAGGATAAATATATACATTGAACATGGCCTGTATATATTAACCTACTCTAAATTACTAAATTACAGTAGACATTTTCATCTAGTAGTTACCTTACTCATACGACATCCAATTATTAGCCCAATCTGCACACAGGCTAATTTATTTCACATATATTACTGTCATTAACTTTATCAAAAAATGTGGGTAAGAGTAAACCTATAAAGATTACACTTTTTACCTTTCCTCATCATGCATCCTCACTAAAAACATAAGTTTGGATGCTTTGCACATTACTCCACAAAAGATGTTCTGGCACATATAAAAGTTCTAATTTGTTCTGCTATGTGATGCTTTAATTATACTAAAACTTATAAGGTCTTATTGTTGGGGAAGTAGAAAACCACTACACTTCAATTCACCTAGTTTATTTAATAATAACTCTTCCCCCGACTCAGATTCCAAATGACTATTTTCAGACTTAAACAACTGCCAAAATTCCTAAATCTACGTAGGTGATAGATGAGACTAGAATTCTTACCTTGAAACATTTCCTTTGCTTCTAACCTAACTATGACCCATTAAAATGATTTAAGTTTTATTTGTTTTAAGGGAAGTACTGTAGCCAAAGTCAGCTTCCACTAATACTCCCAATAAGAAATAAAATATACAAGATAGGAGGAACTCAGAAAGCTGTAAGGCAGATAAAAACAGAGCAAAATGACATTAGTGCCTCCTTATCAGTAATTACTTTAAAAGTAAACAAACGCTCCAATCTAAAAGCAGAGATTAGCAGAATGGATTAAAAAAAAAAGGCATGATCCAACTACATGCTCTCTACAAGGCTCACTTTAGAAACAAGTAGCCTGAAAGTGAAACGATGGAAAAAGATATTCCATGCAGCCCTGGCTGGGTGACTCAGTTGGCTGGAGTGTCGTCCCATACACCAAAAGGTTTCAGGTTTGATTCCCAGTCAGGGCACATACCTAGGTTGCAGGTTTAACCCCCAGTTGGGGCACATACAGGAGGCAACCAATTGATGTTTCTCTGTCACATCATAGTCTGTCTGTCTGCCTCTCTCTCTCTCCTCCCCACCCCCTCCACCCTCTGAAATCAATAAAAAATATATCATCAGGTGAAAATTAAAGAAAAAAAGATATTCCATGCAAATAGTAATCAAAAGACAGCAGAGGTATCTACACTATCAAACAAAATAGACTTTAAATTTTTTAGAAAATGGTGTAAGAGACAAAGGACACTACATGTTAATAAAAGGTTCAAGAGACCAAGAAGATAGAACAAGTATAAACATCACATACCTAATAACAGACCACCAAAATACATGAAGCAAAAGCTGACAGAATAAAAAGGAGAAATAGGCAACTCTACGATAACAGTTGAAGACTTCAATACCCCATTCTCAATAACGGGTGGAAAAAAACAGAAAGTTGACAGTCTTTCTGTTTGGGTTTACTGGTTTAACACAATAAACCAAATAGACATACATACACTCTACCCAACAGCAGAGTGCCCATAGGACATTCTCTAGTATACAGTCTATGTCAAGCCACAGATTAAGTCTCAACAGATTTTTTTAAAAATAGATACACAAAGTACCCTCTCCAACCACAACAGGATAAAGTTAGAAATCAGTAAGAGAAGGAAAACTGGAAAATTCACAAATTTATGGAAATTAAATAGCACACTCTTCACCAACGGGACAAAGTAGAAATCACAAGAAAAGTTAGAAATACTTAACAGACAAATGAAAATAAAAACACAACATACCAAAATGTGTAGGATGCAGAGAAAGTAGAGCCCATCAGGATAGTTACAGCCATAAACACACTGAAAAAGAAGAAAGTTCTCAAATAAGCAATCTAACTTTACAACTTAAAGAAGTAGAAAAAGGAGAACTAAACCCAAAACTAGTAGAGGGAGAAAAAAATTTTTAAAAAGTACAGCAGAGTTAAATGAAATAGAGATTAGAAAAGGAACAGAAAAAAGCAACAAAACCAAAAGCTGGTTCTCTGAAAGCATTAACAAAATTGACAAACCGTTAGCACAGCAAGAAAACAGAGAAGACTCAAAAACTCTTTTTAAGGTGTTCAATAATTTTTAAGAGTGTAAAGGGTCCCAAGACTAAAAGTTTTAAAACATCTAATTTAGAGAACTTAATATTACTATCAGATCCCTACAAACCAAAAAGTACATAAAATCATTAATTTAAAAAAAAACTTTCCTAAGAAAATTACATGAAAGCTAAAAAGACAATATCAAATCAAAACTAACCTCACTGTGCAATATTAATAACAAAGAAAATAAAACAAAAACATGCTTAGAGGAAAGTGGTTTATATACACTGAAAATATGTAATATACTGTTCTGATAAAAACTTACATACCCATCAATAGTTTGATAATTTTTTCATAGCAGCACATGACAGTCAAAGAAATGCAATCACATACTCAAAAACAGGTGATTAAAATAGCAGCCGCCGCCACCACGAGGGAGACAATCCAAGGTTCTGTCAGAACAGACAAACAGGGATACTTCAGCAGCTCTCAGGCAGCATCTCAGGACGCCCCACTCACGGTCCAGCTGTTCTATTTAAAACTAAATCACGTGCTTCCAAGGTAGGACAGTGAGATTCGGCCTGTATTTAGCACCCCCCCCCCCCCAAAAAAAGTGAATGGGTCTTAGTGGAATTAATCTGCACGAATAATGCTCCATCAGTCCAAAGTCCTTCTTCAGCTTACTAGAACCCTTCAAAGACTGGAGACAAGCAGTAATAGTAATAGTATTTACTGAGCACTTACTATGTGCCAGGCTAAGCACTTCGTGTGTGTTAGTTCATATGCGGCTCAATATCATCTTAAGGGTGTAACTGCTATTATCCCACTTTTGCAGCTGAGAAAACTGAAACAAAAAGAGAATAAATAAGTTGCATCTAAAGCAAGCCCATGATTCAAACCCAGCCAGTTCGGTTCTGAGGCCCAACCCCCCTTAGTCACTACACTACAGGATGGAAGTACTGTAACCAACAATAATGTATAAAGTTTAAAAGTCATGCCCACTCCACCCATTGCCTCCCGGAAGCCCCCAACTTGAAGATAATCCTCTGACAGTTTGATTTATCACAACTGATGTTCATCTTCCAAGTACTGAGGGACTTCAACCAAGAAGAGCAAATTTTGGATGGTGAATACTGTGGAGATTTTTTTTAAACACCAAAATGTAGAATATAATACAAATTAGGTAATTTCACAAGTCCTGAACCTCTTTTCCCTCTGCTATTGTAATCGATGAAACCATTATACAGGATTCTAGGTAGACTGTTCTAAAGAGAATAATGCTTCAATTCGAGTCAATAAAAATTTCTTCCTCAAAATATTTTGCAATATTGGCTAATTACAAGGGTAACTCTCATTCTACCCCCTTCATTTCAGAGTTCAGAATGAGACTGCAGTTCTAAATATGTGCCCAAGCAATTCAAGGCAGAGTTCTAAGGTCATTAAAAATGACCTTAAAACTTCATTGTAGAACTTAAGACAAGTAGAATGGGAAACTGAACAGGTCATATTATAACGCTGCTTAAGGATGACAAATAAGGAGTGGATAAGACTCACAGTAATTACACAAGACATCCTCATAGAGATGCCAGCGTTTGGTTTGGTTTTAACTTTTGGCTCATGTTTTATTTAAAGTGCCTTAAATAAACGACTACTTTTTTTGGTCTACTGAACTGAAAACATTCCACAATACATTACAAAAATAACTTTCTAGTTTTCTCAGGGAAAAAAAGGCAATTCAAAAGAGGAATGCAAAGATTAAAGAAAGAGATGACTCGATTTACACGAAGATTACAACATGAACACGAAAGATAAGTGAAAAGGAGTAACCACGAAGTGCTGAAAGTATTAAGTCATCAGCTGCCCTAGACCTTCAGGCACGTAAGCCAGCTATCTGAAAACAAGGAATGGGCTCGCAGTTGCCAACATTCATATTGCGTATATTAGATGTATTAAAACTCTATTCTACATTGGGTAATGCCCAGGAAAGCAAACCAACGGATTCAAAACTACGCTGGTAGTAACAGGCTTAAATGACACGGGGGAGGGGGGACAAGCCAGCCAGCCTTTGCGTAGGGGCTGCAGGAGTCCTTGAACTGAACACTCGCAATTAAGAACCCGCTGTTGGGAAACTCTGCAGAGTCATCAAGGGCGATCTGATTCAGGTTCAAATCAAACCCACAAGGTGACAAGTTGTAAACAGAGAACACGTTCTGGGCCAAACACCCATTGAGAGGAAACAAAACTAGTCATCGCCGGGGTCACACCACACCCACCCCACCCTGACGCTTGGCACTCCCACAGGGTGGGTGCTGGGCTGGGTACTGGAGTGGGTGGAGAAGCGGGCGTGCAACAGCCCAAGACCCGCCGCCCCCCTCCTCGGCTCTGCTCTGCTCGACTCTGCTCTGCACCGCACAGCGGCGACTGGCGCTCGGGGGCCCTAGAGAAGGAGCAGGGCACGAGGGCCGCCTTTGCTTAGAGACCGTGCTGAGGACTCTCCTTGGGGGTGGGGGTAGGAGGGCGGCCAGGTGTTGGTGGATGGGAATGGGATGGAGCGTTTTCCAGGAACAGCCAAAACCCCAGCCCATCAGGGATTTCCCCTCAAGATCCGGTCCACGTCCCCAAAGACATGCGTTACACAACCTGTCAGGTGAGGGTCGAAGGGGTTTCGGGGCGCAGACCGCGGCAGGCCAGGAGTCGCTCTTCCCCTGGCTTCTACCGCCCCCAAGACGCTGCGGCCCAGGGAGAGCAGAAGGACAGCCCCCCGGCGGGAAAGCCGTGGTACAGGGTCTGCCGGCCAGGCGCGGACAGCGGGGCACTCACCAGCTTAGGAGGGGGAGCGAGCAGGGAGTGGACAGAACCACACCACTTGGCTCGGCGCAGGCAGTGCAGGCGGCTGCTCTGTGGACGCACCGCGGACTCCTCGCCGCCTGCTGCCGGGTGTTTTCATACAAACCCGGGTAGCAGGCGAGGCAGAGGCGGCGGCGGCAGCGGAGGAACCTTCCCGCATCCCGGGCAACGTCAGCGCGGCGCCCCGCCCACCGCACGCTTTGGCCAGCTAGCTCACGCGCGCGGGGAAGGAGGGAGGGAGGAGGACGGGGCGCGCGCGTGTGCGCGGGCGTGGCAAACGCGCACGGAACAGAGGGCGGGTCACGCGCGTGGCCGAGGGTGTGGAGCGCGCATGGCCAAAAAGAGAGAGTGCGCTGGCATGGAAGGGTAGGGCTGGGGTGGTTCTTCCAGATGGCTGGAGGGGGTTTTGCGCGCGCCTTCGGCCCGCGTCCACTACAGCAGCCGCCCAACCGAACAAAACGGGTTGCCAGGTGGATAACCACTTTCCGAAATATCACCTTCTTGTACGCTCCCAGTTAGAGACCCCGTCTTTTCCCGGAATTAAGCCAGTGCTCACCCCTATTACCATTTAGCCGCCCCGGACAAGCGGTTCTTACCTCTCCCCACGTGATACCAGGTCACATCAGTCCCTGGGGCCACGGTAATGTTTAGCTATTTCCTGACCTCAAGGAAAATCCATAATACATTAGCAGACTAGCAGTTTCCCTAGCTGGGCTCACAGGGCACAACGAAATTGCACCTTATGGCCAAACCTACATGCCTAGTGTAGCAGGGAACAAAATAGCATGCTGACTTATTTTTGGCTATTTTGTATGGTGCCTGCATACAGTCACGAAAATGGCAGTGCTAAATTGGCCACTGAAAGCAAAGACGGAATGTTTTATCTGAGAAAGTTATGTCTCAGACAAGCTAAATACTGATACACCCCTCCTGTGTGGACTGTAATATATTTTTAATAAATACCTTTTTTTTCCAAGAGCATGGGGTCATGTTTCCTGCTGTTTATAGTAGCTGACAAAGAATGTAACACTACTACTACACAGAGCAGGAGTTTTCAACCGCTGTGCCTTCCGCAGGGGGCACGCTGTGGTGCTGCAAGATTTTTTTAAAACATGCAAAACCTGACTATCTAGTCAGGCCCTTAGGTTTTCAGATAAAATGACAACAGCCAACACAAGAATGGCCATCTGGTGTGACTGAATCAAAATTACACCTTTTTTTGTTGTCAGATCAGCAAAAAATATAACACTTTTCGGTGTGCTGCAGAATTTTAGTAACTAGTTGATTTTCCAAAGGTTGAAAATTGCTGAGATAGGGAAATATATCGAGAGCTGTGAAGTTCTTATTTTGCTTTCTTACCATCATGTTTAAACGAGTTGAGCAGGTGTGAAGGAAGTTCCAAAAGTAATCTTCTTGCAGCTTGCCCTAGCCAGATAGACATCTTTACTAGGATAAACAAGAGACTATCACCTTTTAAATGCCTTAGTTTCTCCCACTATAAGCACCAAAAAGTAGGTTATGGTATTTTAAATAATTTTAAAACATACCACCCCAGACAATCCAGTTTGAAAAGCATTATCTAAGAATGCCTAATTATCAAAGAATATTTAACATTTTTCAGAAATTAAGTATATGTAATACATATGAAACTTTATTCAAACAGTATCTTCATAAACATATCAACCAGCAATATAGAAAGATATAAATGTGAATGCCTGCATTTGTAGATTTTGAATTCCATTTTAGCAAAGCATTGTTAGTGTGGTGTGATAGCCAGAACACAAACCCAGTAAATTAACACACACAACTAGGTAAAATGCAGAGCCAATCCCATTTGTCACTCTTTTCCACTACTTTAAACAGCTTCCTCAAAACACTTCACAATGATACATGAAACTAAACATAAATAATTGATGTAGATAAGAGTCTAACCTTATAATGATATTCATTTAACTAGGATTCCTCATTACAGTCTAGCCAGTGCCTTGTAGGTAACCAATAAACACTTAATTATTTTAACTTGGGACTAGTCAGGGAAGAGAAAGGTTACCATTGGAGCCCAGCCAGCTATCTCTTTCTCTTTTGCTGATTTTCTTACTTGCATACCTTTCATAAAGTAACATACTGTTGCGTATGTAGAGTAACATACAAGTATGTTTAGTGATATAGTCTTTCTAATTAGTCAGCCGGGCAACTGCTTGGCTAGTTACCTACTGAGCAACCCAGCACAAAGGAATACATAAGAGTCATACAAGGTAACTATGCTATTCACTCAGCTTTTATTATATGTAGGTTCACTCAAAGCAAAACATCAACATACATTAATATCCTATTTATACTCTAGCAATCTAAAAGAAACACACACACATAACAATTAATGGAGGAAAACAAACCTGAGACCCAGAGTCTCAGCCAATAGGTCCAGGAGACAGCACCGTGGGCAAGGAAGCCATAACCCTTTTGCAAGGAAGAGCTGGTCTCACAGGTTGAAGAGGGTACAGCCTGGATCCAGCAGAGCAGAGCCTCCAGCAGCAGATGCCAAGGGAAGTCAGCGTGATGTGGAGCAGCACTCTGGTGTGTGGAACTCAGCTGTCCCAGCAGTGGTCTGGAGCCAGCCTCAGTTATGCGCTTGAGAGTGGTGCACTCCACCCCTCTGGGTCTCTTGATAAGTGTCTTGGCACCCCTGATGACAAGTAGGCACTTTCTCAAAACGACTATCTATGGGCGGTCCTGTTCTGCAGATGTGGCTGTTCTTGTCACAAGTGCAGAAAACTTAAGCATATGTTTTTGCCAGATGTGTCTGGTGTGACTTAGGTAGTTTCCTTCTGGAACCAAAGCAGCATGGCTGACTGGCTGCCAACGTGGTTGACATGAATGACATCATTTTGTTTTACACACTTAACTGTCTTTACACACTTTATCCTGTCTTAACTGGACCAATGCTGTTCTGGTCCTGCTCTCCACACATACAAAATCCAACAAACTTTATAAGAAAACTCTACAGCCATCAGATTTAGAACAGTCATAGACCTCTCAAAAGTCTACAGCCATTTCCATCTGGAACCATAAATGTTAGGAGCACAAGCTTAGCCATGAACTTTCTGAAACATGAGTAGTCCACAGAAGTTGTAGGATTGTTGTAACTATTCAATGTCATTCAATGATCGCCAATTTATTGAGCACCTCCTGCTAGACACAATACTCATGATCACGCCCAACAAAATACCTAACAGCTGTCTTGTGCCAAACTGAAATGTTATCACAAATAGACCATGGAGCAGAAATGTTGTAAGAACAACATGAGCTGAACCTACGTGAATGTGGCATGGCTGGGAAATGGAGGGAAGCAACCCTAGTATTTCACACAATGGAGAAGTTCTGGAGACAAAAGATTTTACAGTGACAAACGGTTTCCTGGAGTCATGTGGTAGATTGTGAATGATACATGATTCAGGGACTAAAAAGTTGAGTTTAAAGATCCATATCTGTAAGCCACTACACCCTCACTTTCTTTATTTGTGAAATGGAACTTAAATAACCAAATCTAAATAGCCAAATCTAAACATTCAAATGTAGATGCCCTTTGATCCACTTACAGGAATTTATCCTAAAGAAATAACCAGGGAAGATGTAGAGATTTAGCTGTAAGGATGATTATTCTTATAAATCTTATAATTCCACTTATAAATTCTTATAAGTGGAATTATAAACTATCTTTAATGTTCAACAGAAGGCACCTGGTTAAACACATTATCGTACAGCTGTAATATAGATCACTAGGAAGCCATTACAAATGATGTGGTAAATCAGGAGTTCTTAACCAGGGTCCAGTGGGTTTAATTCATGAACAGATGTGAATTTACCTTGAGGCTAATAAAGTGAGGAGCTAAGAGGGCTTTCTTAGCCCCTAATTTTCGCCGGTTCCTGTGAGTACTAAATTGCGGACTTAAAGAATTTTCCAAATGATAAGGGGAAGACAGGTTGCAATCAGGAAGCATTTCTACATGACTATTTCTGGTAAATTTCCTGAATAGATCTCATTTGAAAGGGACCTAGATCTGCAAATGCCTAGGAAGATATTGTGATTTTGCATTCTAAATAAATATCCATATAAATAATTTATATATGTTCACATGTGATTTTTTTTCTTTTAGAGGGCCTGCCCGCTATTTGAAAAAGACAATTTCCCATTATTTTCAAGTCAGTTTCTCAATCCTGCAGTCTGAACAAGTGTTTTGTTTTACTTTTTAATAACTTATTTAAAATAAAATAATAAACATTTGAACAAAAATCACAAACACTAGAAGTACTCTTCTTCTTACTTAATAAAACTGTTCAGCATTTCCAAAAGACCACCTAATTAACAATTAACTGATTTGGAAACATTAAAGAAGAGACTTCCGGCCAAGATGGAGGCATAAGTAGACACACCATACCTCCTCGCACAACCAAGATAGGGACAACAATAATTCAGAAACAGAATAACAACCAGAACTGACAGAAAATTGAACTGTATGGAAGTCAGACAACCAAGAAGTTAAAATAGACCTGTTTATCCAGACCAGTAGGAGGGGCGTAGTCCAGCAATCGGGCACAGGTCACAGCGTGGAGAGCAGAGTGTTGGGACCAGGTGCATAAGGCATCCGGGGCATGCGAGACCACAGTGGATGGACCCTGAGCGCGTAAGTGGCAGCTGGCAGACCCAGCGAGGCAACGATTGTGAAGCAAGGCACTGCATGCAACCCACGATCACAACTCTGGGAAATAGAGCCTTGGAACATTGATTGGAAACACCTGTGGGGGTTGAGGCTCAGGGAGAGACTCCAAGCCTCACAGGAGAGGTCCTTGGAAAGTCTCACGGCATGCACAAGCCCACCCACACAGAAATTGGCACCAGAGGGGCCCAGTTTGCTGGGGGGAAGAGGCGGAAGGGACTGAGGCCCAACGGAGAGCAGAGCTAGCGCCATTGTTCCCTCTCGGACCCTGCGCCCACATACAATGTCACAACCCAGCGAATGGGGTGCCCCTCCCTGGTGAACACCTAAGGCTCCACCCCTCAACGTAACAGGCATGACCAGACCAAAGAAACAACAACAACAAAAAGATGGCTCAAACAGAATTGAAAGCCCCACAATAGTATTTTTAAGTGACCGAGAGATAGCCAACCTATCAGATGCACAG